ATTGAACCATTGGGATCTATAGCTTTCAGTGGCTGATGCTTGGGTTTTATCACCAGGCCTTTCTTCCTGGTCTTAGTCTAAAAGTTCTGCTAAAAAACCTATTCAACGTCATGGTAACACATAAGCCTCCACTCTGCATGAGGTGCAGTGACCAAGAATTAAACCAGCATGTGCTACGTGGAAGATAACGATTTGACTACCGAAACACACTGTCCCCGGGTCATTGCTATATGTACTGCCGCGGCAATTCCGACTCACTTCGACCATGCAGGTCAGAGCAGAACTGCCCCCAGTGTTTCCAGACCTTCGTTTCTGCAGAGCAGTTGGGGGTTATAAGAGCCGTTTGGTTAACAGAGAGGCACCTTCCCATTGGGCCAGCAGGACTCCCAGGGCTCTGAAAAGCTCGTGCTGAAGGATTAGGGCCTTGGATTAGAAGCTTGGAAGGTTACGGGAGCAGCCACAAACTGACTTCCAACCTTCAGCCCTGCCTTCGCCATCCTCCTCCTTATTCGGGCTAGCTCCCCAGATTGCATCTGTCCCCCACCAACACTGACTGTATCTTGATAGCCACGATAATCCCAAGTCTTAACAGGGCTCACGTGTGCTCATTCTCCCATTCTTTCTGTCTTTGTCTCCATTCTGCCTCGTGCATGTACCATGAGCCTGCGCATCCGATGCACTGTTCCACATGCTACAGCACAGTGGGGAGCACAGCGGACCACCCTGCCTTCCTGCAATGTGGTAGTTAGTTAGGGGAGCAGAGGAGCCAAATCACCGCCCACCGCAGACATCGATTTGATTGTAAGCAATTACTAAACTCTTGCTCAGGGCCAGGGTATGCTAAGTGGATTAGCAAACATGGCAGTTAGTCCCCTGCATGGAACTGAGGAAAGGGAGGCTCAGAGGTGAGAACACTTTCCCAAGGCCACGAGGCACAGAGTGACAGCTGGGATTCCAGTCCAGCACAGTCTAATGCAAACAAACTTGGCTAGCTTTTCAAAGCTGACCCTGCTTGGCAGCCCACGGATCGCAACCCTTTCCCAGTTTGGACCCGTTCTTCCTCGAGGTCTGTATTTGGGCTTACATGGGTCTATGCTCCATATAGTCTTTGACATAAAATAATCCACCGCCTAATATGTGCAATCCGCCCACTCGTGCATCTCATTATGGAGAAACTGTAAGACTGAGAACCAGCGGCAGTTGTTGCCTAAAGGATACTGGGAAATCCCGATGATGACCTAGGCCAAGATTTAAAAAGTCTGTGCAGAGATTTGGAAACGTTTCGGATGATTAATACGGCAATGGCGCCTCCTGGTGTCCGTGCAATGTATTACATGTTCATTGACCTTGGGAAAGAAAACAAAATACTGCCATAGAGTCCGTGCTGCCTTACTAAACATTGGCCCTCGGATCCACAAGGTCAGCAGTTTGAAACCACCAGCTGCTCCTCAGAGAAATGACAAGGGTTTCTACTCCCATAAAGACTTACAGTCTCAGAAACCCACAGGGACAGTGTGTTCTTCCCTGTCCTGTGTTCCTCCTCTGAATGGAGGAATCTTGGCGTCCAGCAGTCAGGGGTGGGTCCAGTAAATGATCCATGAACCAGAACCTCACATCTTGCTGTTCCGGCCGTCGGAAAGGCGTCGATGGTAGTGAG